GGCTACCAATACTGACCTATGAACTGGAGGGATCAGTGTTCACCTACAGTAAATCTCATCCATAAACACTAATTTTTATTCTTTTATTAATTTCTAGTTTTCTTTTTAATATTGTCATTTTGAAACCACTGAAATATGATGAAATAGTTATGAAATATTATTGAATATAATAGCAGCATCTGCAGGATAAGATATAGATTTTAATAAAGTCCAACCACTTTTTAGGGGGCATTGATTAAAGGCTCTTGTAGCCAAATGTATACATTTACTTATACAAAATAAATTTCTTTACGTATTTACAATAAAAAGTTTACTGTGTGAGTCAGCCTTATGCAGATGTTAATAAATTCTGTTTGTGGCTTTGTGCAATAACAATGTACCGCTGTCCTCACCGTGATGAAGCTCCTCATCAGCAGAATGAAAGGTCAACGTGTCTGTGAAAGGCAATGAGGTTCACTGGTAATCTACCAGCTGCAAGCTATATCACAACATTAAGGCCAAGACCAACGCTGACTAATTGACCATAACTGTTGTAGCTGATTAATTTCCTTTTAGCTGCTAATGCAAATGTCAAAACTTGAGCCGTATAGATTGGTGAGTGCGGTGAAACATACATCTTTTTAAAAGTGTTCAAGGTGATGCTTTCCGACTTACAGTTCATGTTTTGCAATAGTATATGGCACATCCCACGTGGGCTTTAAACAGATAATAATTTAACTTTATTGATCTCACACTGGAGAAATTTATCTCTGCATTTAACCCATCCTCTTGGGGAGCAGTGGGCTGCCATTGTGTAGCGCCTTGGAAACAGTGTGGGGTTTAGGCTCTTGCTCAGGGACCCAGAGTGCAGGCTGCGGGGATTGAACCAGGTACTTGCAACCTTCTCAGAGCACAAGGGCACTGATCTAACCAATAGGCCACCACTCCCCAGTGAAATTCCAACTGGCGGTGTGAACTACTTCAGCAAAAGAGATGCCAAAGTAGAATTTTTATTGCATTATTAGGATACTGAATTAATGGCTCAAAAAAAAAAGTAGTCCCGTAGTGGAAAAAAATAATGCTTGAAATCCAAGCTGATACAGAATTAGTATTATGTTAGAAACAAAATGATACAGCATAAAGTAATGAAAACAAAAGAAATATTAATAGAGTCATAGTTTAACACTCCTCTCTGCAGCTTCTCTGCTGTTACCCACTCATTACTCCATCCAGACAGTGTCTTGCCCACGACCAGAAACAAATAAATTAGAAAAGAATCCTAAAAGAGTGAATCATTTCATTTGGGAAAAAGTTAAAACTATGTAGTTAATTTAACGTCTTCAAAACGTCTGTTAATAATAATAATACGGTAATAATAATAATAATAATAATAATAATTAAGAAATAAGGAGTAAACTATGATAATTTAATACAAATGTAAAAAACTAATTATAATAACTCCAATTGGGGGAAAAGTTAAAATGATTAAATGTGGTTTATTTAACATAAGTTTAAGTCCTCAAAAGATCTGCTAGTTAATGACTTGATTTGTGATCATCAAAACGATTTATGTTGTCTTACAGAAACTTGGCTGCAGCAAGAGAATCATGTGGGCATAAATGAGGTAAATGCCTGTAGTTATATTTTCACAAAACGAGAAAGTCTGGGTAGGGGGAGGAGTAGCATCAAACTGTCAGTCTTACTTAATGATTACTCCAAAGCAAGGTAATAATTACAACTCTTTAGAACATTTAACCCTTAACTTCCCTCATCCAAATTGCAAAGCAATAAAACCTCTTTTTTAAAACAGGTTCTTAGTCTGAATTTTTAGATCAGTTTTCAGATGGCTCCTATGTGATTTGGTGTTAAATACTGGCAATGTCCTCATAGTGGGGGACTTCAACATCCATGCTGACATTGAAGGTGATAGCTTAAATGAGGAGAATAAAAATAATCCAAGATATCTTTTTAATAAGGTTGCCAAACTCACCCAGAGCCATAGCTCTGTTGAACCATCCATCCATCCCACCTGCTCTCTAGAATCTTAATCCGGTTTAGACTGCTTTGATCCAGTTGAACTTTCAGAGTTAGGAAAACTATTACCCTCATTTGTATGTTAGATCGAGTTCCAACTAAGTTATTTAAGTATTCCTTCTGATTTTCAAAGCCATTTTAGATGTTACAGGGATATATACCTCAGGCCTTTAATGTAGCGGTAATTAAACCTTTACTTAGGAAAACGTCTCATAACAAAAAAAACATTTTGGTGATATTTTTCATTAAGATCTGATTTTAGAATGTCTTCCTTTCATCTGTGTAATATTGCAAAAATTAGAAATATCCTGTCCAGGGGTGATGCTTAGAAACTAGTCCATCCTTTTGTTACTTCACGACTGGACTATTTTAATTCTTTACTATCAGGAAGTCCACAAACTGTAGTTAAAATCCTTCAGCTGATCCAAAATTCTGCAGCCAGTTTGTATGAAAATTACAGCTGTGCTTGAAAGTTTACATACACTCCTAATAAACTTTTAAATTCTAAANGCGGGAACCCTGATATACCTAACAGCCAAACTAATCATGACAAACTTAAGCACTGGATAAATTAACATGCCATCAGTTGCGTAACATCCACATTCCTCAATAAAGGAGTTAAAAACTAAAATAATATTTTTTTAAATAAGGAAGTTATTGCCTTCCATTTTCAATTCAATTCACTTAATATATATATATATACACATCTATCCTAAGGCTATTTACAGAGACAACTCAATCAAATCATACAGATTTGATTGAGTTGAAGGTTTTCTAAGGAAACCCAGCTGGTTGCATCGAACCATTGGCTTTGCAGGATTCACTACTTCTTTAAACCACTTCGTAGATCAACAATCATAGACTCTGTTGATTCAAAGCACGTTCCTCCAAGAAGCATGACCTCCCTGCAGCCAAATCTTTAACATAAACCTCAGTTCTTGTTTAACCTTCATGGCATTAGCAATCCAGATGTAGCATCTATCCCCGTCAAAGGCTGACTCGACTATCATTATACCCAAGAGAGCTACATCAGTGATTGGTAGAATAATTTACTCACCCCTCTGTGACCTCTATGGGCGATCTGTAGGCCTTGGATTGGTTGTGCCGTTTCTTGGGACAGAACATCCGTCCAATCAGAAAGAAGGTGAGGAGGCCAGAGGGGATGAGGATGAAAGCGAGGAGGACGGCGACATCGGAGAAGCGGATGGTGTGTGCTGAGGAGAGCAAGAGTGTTAGGGGCTGTTAGATCCATATTAACATGGTGTTTAGAATCAGGTATGCAGGACATCACAGTAAGGATATAAAGTAATTACAACCCTCAAATACCCTAAAGAGAAATTAACCTCAGAGAAAAGTTTTAATAAATGTACTATTCTAAAATAAACTATTATAAATGTGCAGAGTAATACTTTGCCTTGCAAAATTCATACTCATCACAAACTGAAAAATATTTTATTGGAATCTTATACTAAAGAAGAACAATGTAACTGTAAAGCTGAAGGAAATGAATATGTTGTTTTAAAAAACAACAAATTAAAATCTGAAAGGTGTGGCAGGCATTGGTATCCTGGACAGTGAGTTAAATAGTTTAGAAGCAGCTCTTTATTTTGTTCTTAATGAATATGTATCAACTATTTTGGCTAATCTGGATGATAATTTGTTCTTGTTTAGGAAAATAGCTCATATTGAGTCAGATTGGAAGAAAGCAGAAGTGATCTCTTAAAAGAAATATTTAATTTTGCCTTGTATTTGATCAGGACTTTAACTGAGCCATTAAACTTCTCACTCTGTTATAAGGGTCGTTATCCAGATGGAAGTTTAGCCTCCAAAACTGTCTTTTGCAGCTTCTTCTAACTGAGTTTATTAAACTCAGTTAGAAACCATGTTAAATTTGAAAATGTTTACATTATAACAGTGCTACACCAACTGTGTAAATATTTGACTTAATCTCCTATCTGATGATGTATTTGACCTCTCAGCATGGGCGGTTCTAGACAGGGGCCAAGGCCCCTGTAGATCAAGTACTGGCCCCCGTTATGGCCCCTATACTGAAGACATAATACTCAAAGAAATTCTAATGATGATATGCGCTGAAACAGACATGGTTACTGATAGATCCTTTGAATCTATTTTATTTTTTTCTGACCGACACTCTGAAGCTGTTGCCATGGTATTGCAGATGAAGCAGGAATAATAATTGTTTCCCCATGGCTGCGTGTAAATTATTAAAACCTAGAGGGCATGAGTGAGCCGACGGACATGCAGAGAAGAAATGAGACAGATTGTGTTTTCATGTGCATTTCTTTTCTTACTAGGTCTCTTCATGAGTGTCAGAGTCGCAACATCAAGGTGCAAGAGTTAAGTCATCAAGGAACTGTTCACAGACAAATAGGCATCTTACATGGTGTTTTATAGAAAGGGGGGCATTGTTTAACATGATGCTCATTCTCTCATCAAAAAAAAAAATCCAGTTATAAAAAATTCATTCAGGTGAATACGCTGCATCCAAATTTAAATCACCAGACAGTGCTCAACAAAACACAAGTACAAGGATACAAAGTTTGTGCTAAAATGATTCAGTGAAAATGTTGAAAAGTTACAAACTCAAAGTTCAGAAAAAGTTCTGAATAAATCATTTATTTTGTCGTAATTTCGAGCAAACACTAGAAATGTTACAACTTAAAGAAAACAGAATCCAGCCACTCTGACACAATAAATTAGAAACAAAAAACTAAACAAAAACTCATCCAAGTTGTTCACAATAAAGTGACAAACAGCATCCAAATTATAAAGATATAAAAAATGTACATGTATATACACAGACACGTAGCCTCCCGTTAGCCTGCTTGGTCAGTTTCCACCGTATTTATGGACACCAGATGGACGGCAGACATAACAAAAACAAAAAAAAGCATCCCAACCACAGCATAACTGACACAGGAATAAAGATGCCTTTATTCCCTCAGAGCTCAGCTGCTTTTTCTGAAGGAGCTCATCAGTACGAACACATTTCACCATTTGTGGTCGATTCAAAGATGGAGTAATTTACCGAATCTCAAAAAAGAAAATAAAAAAGTAAACTTTATTGGCTTAGAGACTGAACACTAATGAACAAGGCTGACTTTTGTCTGTTCAGTGTCTCCAGTTATCCAACACAGGAGTTTTTTTTTTTTTTTTTTTTTAGAACTGAGACTCAGCATAATCTTGATCACTGAGAGGCCTCTTCTTCTCATCGTAGTACTCCTCATCCTCAGAGTCCTGAAAGAGACCACATTAAAGAACAGATTAATTAATTCTATATACAGACTAGGGCTGCAGCTAAGAATTATTTAGCAAATCGATTAATCTGTAAANCCCATGAGGTAGAGCCTTGACATAGAAATGAATTAAATAATAAATATTAATTAAATAAAACAAACTTAAGACTACAACATTGGTCTTTTGATGTTTTACATTTCAAATAACAAAACTTCAACAAAAGATCAGAAAAAATATGGAATAGCAACTGATTTTAAGACACTCGCGGAGGTAAATAGATTGGTGGATAAGATCGGTTTCATATGTAAATATCGGCCGATCGCCAATCACCCTATATTAAGGAAATCGGGGCCAAACGATCGGCCGGCCGATTTATCGGTGCACCCCTAGTAAAATTCCTAAATTCTGAATGTGTATATTGACCTATTAAGACATTTAGAATTTTAATGAAACCTAATTGAATAGAAATGTTACTTCATGCAGCTATCTTTATTTATTTGAATCCCTTGGCCTGTTTTTTATTTCATGCTTTTCTGTGCCGCCATGAAAACACGCTGGCCGCCTCCTGGCCCCCCTGGTACATTTGGTCTAGAACCGCCACTGCCTCTCAGCATGTACAGGTCAATGGGAACTTTATGACAAACAAAGTATAAAATAAATAAATGATCTGCAATGAATAAAATAATGTTGATTTGAGAGCTAAAACAACAAAAGGCAACACTTGTGAGGTTTTTATCCCTATATAAAGACTTTTAATCATACCTTTTGGTGTAACTGTGAGAACAGTTTCAGAGTTGGGCCCGAAGACATCCGGAGGGTTTGTGACATCACATATGTACGTCCCATTATCATTCAAAGTGGCGTTGATCAGAGAGAGAGAAGCATCCCCACGTGCCGGGGCCCCCCTCCATTTGATACGGCCGGCAAACTGACCGCTCTCTTGGTAATATGCCCGAGAGGAGAAGTGGAAAAACTGCAATGGAAAAAAAAAAAAAAATTATATTTTTGTTGCTTTTTTTATTTAAGCAGGAGCGGTGAAATAAAGTGAAACTTGAGCTAAGACTGAGCGTGATCTTATTCAAGAGCTGTGGGGAAAAATGAAAGATTATTAATCTACTGTCAGAAAAATAACACCTGAAACCCTTTATAAACACGGTTTGTTTATTCACTGCAAATAACAGGAGGGATAGCTGCAGAATTCAACTTGTTAGGCGAAGCAGATGGTGGTGGGATATTGTTTTTCTTTTTTTGTGGAAATGTTAATAATGAAAGCTACAAAAATATGACTAAAACTCTCAAACAGCTACACGACTGGATGAGAATTCAGCAAATATCTAGAAAACAATATTTTACTCTAGAGGTGACATTTACCAAATACGTTTGTTTACAACTTCATCCATGAGTCACCACTCCATGATACCAAGACCTCTTCTAACGACATTCAGAGGATGAGAAAGGTGGACGTGTGGGTGGAGGGACCGACAGGAAAAGATGTCTTGGAATACAGAAGCAGTAATAAAGGTATGGATATAAATAGATTTAAATAACTAAGAGAGGTAATATGCAAAATGTATGTTTCCGAGTGTGATGGTCACATGGTCAGTAACCCCACAAACAACCACTTTTTCATAAGTTTTAATACACACTAGCATAAATATATTGGTTTGTTTATTTTGACAATATTGAAGACATTAGTTCCAATTGTAGCGCGCACATTCGGTTAACTTTTGTATATTTAATTTTGTCAAATGCTTAATATACTTTGTGCTTTCTTTTCTGGTGTGGTGGGAGTGCCGTCAACTGGGAGAATGTGGCTGAAATGATCATGGACTGATTGGGTGGTTCCATCTGGAGTTCCACTATGGGGGAAGACCATGGACTCAACATTTTAAATATGTTGCATAATTTCTTCTTCTTACTTTTGTGATTTGCTCATTTTGTTAATTTGTTTAATGATTGTCATTTAAGTTTAATCCTTAAGCTAACTGTTTAGTTATTTTTTGTTAAATTGGTGTAGATGTTCTCCCTACCTCTTCCTCAGTGTGTAAGTCTGGTCTGATCAGCCAGTATTTAAGTCCCCTTTGTTTGCTGTGTGTCAGGTCAGTTTTTGTTTGTTCAGTTAGTTTGAGGTTTGAACTTGATATTTTTTTTGCCCTTAGTTAGTCTCTTCATTTGACCTCTTTTAAGGGCCCTGAAACCTTTGTTTGGATTATTGTTACTTTGGGGTAATGAAACCCAGTTTCTTGACAATCACCACTTTGTCCTCATGCTTGACTGGCTCAGTCCCTCACACCGAGTCAATAAAAAAAAAATTTTAAATCGGAATTTTGTTAAGGATTATAAACAGAAAGTAATTTGTTTCCATTTCACCTTCCTGAATTGCTTTGCTCCATTACTTCCTTTATTACTACTTGCATGCACCTGCCTACGGTCACATGGTCTTGTTAAGGAAATGACAGAGAAGCCTTAAGTTTACTAGCAACTTGAGTCAAACAAAGTGTAAGACACTGAAATGAAATATAATAGGCCAACAGGTTGCTATAGTTCAATCAGAGAGCAACCAGAGTGAGCTACTGGTAGAACTTTGTAGTCACAGTACGTGAATATAGGGCCTAAATCATTGAAAACAGATATAGGGATGAACAATTAAATCAATTTGAAATACAAAGAGAATTTTTACATTCCCTCCATCCATCTTTTGCCTTTCTCAAGCAGTCTTTCAGCGTATGCATCAGGGTTGGGCATCAAGGATCGATCAGAACCGCTTCTAACTTTTCAATTGTCCCGGAATCGTTCCAATGTTTTATTTTCGATTCTTAGTTTCTTTAACCAGTTTGCTGATCGGAAATAGAAGCTGCCCAATATGAGCGAAGAGGAATCCACAGTGTGCGTGTAAACAGCTCTGTGCTGCAGCATTTTTAAGTGAGGCTTAAAGTTAATTAAGGAAATGATCAGTCGGCTACCTGTGACACATGCCATGGTGATATATTATGGGAAGGATGACGCACAGCTGACATAATCACTACCGGGAGTAGGAATGAGAGCCTGATCTTTGACCTCCTCCCTGAATTCTTAGCACGCCTTCTCTAAGGAGAACAGATACTTTTCATTTCTCCATACTTCCTTTCTCTTAATTTATATGTTAACAGATGGCCGCCATGTTTATCCGTTCTGGATAGAATAAAAAGCACTTTGATCTGCAGAACCTATGAACTATTTTAAGCACTTCATTAATTGTTTATTTTCGATCATTTGGGATCCCTTTCGTATCATAACGCCCATTAAATGAATGATGGTGTATAAAATAGTATTTTTCCTCTTTAATGTAATTAAAATATCACTACTTATCATGTCTAGTTGATTAGAGCTGAGGTGAATGAAAAAAGCTCAGGATATAAACTCTGTCAGGGTGCTTTCCTGCTGCGCTACTTTTTTCCTTTAGCTAAGACATTCAGCTTAGAACCACACCACAGTTAAATTCAGGTAAATAGAAAAAATAATATTGTCTTATAACAATTATTAGTTATTAATTTATATTATTAATTAATATAAAGTACCTGCAGTATCAGAAACTTCCATGTGAAAATTTAACTGTGTGAAAAGAAAATCCATGGTCGTTTTTCAGTTCATAAGAACACAAGTATGGACTCGTGTTCTCATAAATTACGTTCTTGACAAGAACATAGGAAAGTTTGGACCAGGGGAGAACGGGAGCTCGCAGAATAAATCTGGGTCAATTGCAAACGAATCGCATCTGTGACATCACCACAGTCAAACCTAGTCTGGAGCTACATTTCACCTCCTCTTAATAACAGTCTATAGATAATAAATAATTGTGTTTTTCCTTTATTGGGGGAGTAATGATTAACACAATCAGATAAACAAAATTCAAATGAACGTATTGCAAATAAAATAAAATCCCATCAGAGCCAGCGGTTATTCACACATGGCTATGCCGAGAGAGGGCTAATGCAGATTGGCTAACATTAGCCCTGGCTGCGCTTAGCCTGGAAAATTCCCTTGTAGCAACGGTCCTCTCAACATAACTTTTTGGGTTTTGTTTTATTACACATTAAATCCGTAAATGGGCATATATTTAAGCTTAAAAGTATAATTTTCTCACCTCAAGTGATCTTAAAACTTACTTTTGTAAAATGAGACGGCAACAGAAAAAAAACTTTTAACTTAATACTCTGAGCTCTGTGAGCGCTCCCTAGTCGCCGCTGCTGCTGCCGCAGTGCATGCTGGGACAGGTGTCCCGCTGGAGAATGCACAAGTCTGCTCTGACGCATACTTGATAAAGAGGGAGGGATGGTTTTGTACATTCTAAGTTGAGTGTTCTTGGCCGTTTCACAATATATGTACTTGTGCATACTCGTGCATTTGAAACGTCATCGTTTTCAGCCCCAACACTGTTCCAATTATGTATGTACAGTATGTATGTGACCTTTATTTATCCATTAGATCACTTTGGGATTTAAAAAAAAAAACAATCCTTTTTCAAGAGACCTGACCAAACTGCAGACATACAGCTATATAAATGAATGAAAACAGAAGAAAAAATTAATCTGGGCCGCTCAGTGGCACAGTGGGTTCGATACCCGGCCCAGGGTCTTCCTGCATGGAGTTTGCATGTTCTTCCTGAGCATGCATGGGTTCTCTCCGGGTACTCCGGCTTCCTCCCGCAGTCCAAAAACATGACTGTTAGGTTAATTGGCTTCTCTAAATTGTCCTTAGGTGTGAGTGTGTGTGAATGGTTGTTTGTCCTGTGTGTCTCTGTGTTCCCCTGCAATGGACTGACGACCTGTCCAGGGTGTACCCCGCCTCTCGCCCATTGACTGCTGGAGATAGGCACCAGCAACCCTTGTGACCCCTATTGGGACAAGTGTGTAAGATAATGGATGGATGGAATTGATGAAAAAATATCTGAAATATGATATAAATTAGTTTAAACAAAAACTTCTTTATAAAGAAGTAAGTTAAGTAAGTGACTGACAGCTTAAACTGTGCAAAGACACACCAAAGTGCAGTGCAGTCACCAATCAACCTAACAGTCACTGTGGGAGGAAATCAGAGCACCCAAAGTGAACCTGTGCTTGTAGAAGGTAAAGCATGCAAACTCCATGCAAATCAACCTGAAGCCTGGATTCGAATACAGGAACTTTTCACTGCCCCCGCCTACGAGCAAAGAGTCAAGCTCACCACAACCTCTCGCCGAATCATTTCAATTTTAAAAGTCTTGATTTCCAAATCACAGAAACACTTGAATATTGTAAGATAAATATTAAATTCAGTGCTTTAGGTGGCACTTATATGCTTAAAGCTGGTTTGCAGCCATACAGAAAGCAAGACAGAGTCTCAGCTAGTGGGCAGATAATGCATTCCACCTGGAAGTGAACACTACTTCCACTCAAGAGTAAAGTCTCCAGTAAGTGGACTCTGGACATGAGAGCAATAAAAGACATAAAAAACTAAAACAATAAAACTACAAAGCCGAACATATGTGTTGTTGTGGTTTGTGGAGAAGAAAAAATGAAATCTTGATTTTGGATTTTGGGAAAAACTGCAGTGCACCAGCTTGAAAGCAGATCCACCCTGCTATTACCATTTTAGTTCTCTTACTGATGAACACCATGTTAATTCAGAAATAATGATACATTTCTTACTATTTTATATTAACAAACTTATAAAATTTGAACAGGATGTTAAAAACAAACGTGTCTCTCTAACAGAAGCATCAAAAGGGATGTAAAATGATAAAAACAACCAGTAGTTCCTTTTCTGAATAACATATTCTAACACACTTTATGAGTCTTCCTGCATAAGTTTGATGAAATCAAGATCACAACAATTTTATTACTGTGTGGCATTTCGGGATCATATTTACATTCACAAGCATGCACAAGACTGAGGAAAGTGTCAACAAGCGTAGCTGCGCAGGGCTTCCCAATAAAAGAAGCACATAATGCCATA